CTTAAAACCCACGTCAACTTCTCTCTTTTTTCTTTCTCTGGAAAGATCTATCAAGAATACAACACGCACACGGCACACTTGTCTGGTAATCCGAGGGTGCGTTCGGTTGAGAGCAATCCCCAGTTAACAAGGTAATGTTATTTTATATTAGGGTAAAACTTTTTTATAGATATAATTATAGAATCAAACTAATTTATTACTCTAAGAAGGTTATATTTTAATAGAAGTGTAATTATAAAAATTAATATTTTAATTTCTTATTTTATAATTCATGTTTTAATAGTGTGTATTAAAATTTTAATTAATTGTTTTAGTAGCATTAGTATCACACAACTGTTCTGTTTCTACCACCAGCTAGCACTTCCAAAATCTAGTTGTGTGATACAGGCATCATTAGAAATTTTAAAGGTTATTATAGTCAACATTTTAATCGCCTATTTTTTAAACAAATAGAAGATCATGTATTGGAACCAAAAAAGAAAAGTATCCTTAATAAAATTGTAAATGCAGTTGTTGCATAGTCAATTGATATGAAGTCACAGACAATTGTCAATTGTTTTAAGCACTATAAAATTAGGACCCCTGATGTCGATGAATTACAAGTTACAAATGAAGTGAATGTGGAGAACAAAAGTCTTATTGCATAATTGAGTGATCAGATTTGACAACTTCACTATACTAATAGAATACATATTAATGTCTTCCTCGATCATCCAAATAAGTAAAAAGTTGTATATGCTTTAACTGAAGAAGAAATCATTGCTGCAATTAGAGAAGAAGAGAAATGAAATAATCCTGAGGATGATAGTATATAAATATAAAAAGTTTCATGTCATGAAGCTCTAAACATGCTTGAAAAGCTAGAAATATTTTGGTTTCAACAGAAGATGTTCATGCTAGTGAATTATTATATACCCGCAAGTTAAAAAGTGTCGTAACAACTTTAAAGAATATATCATTATCTCAAACAACTTTAGATAAATATTTTATTTCATTTTAAACATTTAATGTAACATAGCATATTTTTTTTTCTGTAATATACAGATAATTATTACTATGTGGAGGCAACTTTCCTTAAGACGGGAATTGGAAAAATTATAACTTATTACAATATGGAGTTTATTCTTGTTTATATCTATTCCAAATTTGGACTAAAAATTTTTATGACTATCTAGAGCTTATTCATATATAGAGTATCACTATAAAGATGTTTTACTGTATTTACATTATCACGTTTAGTTGTAAAGTAATATAAGATTTTGATAATCTTCTAAAATTAATAGTAATTACTATTGGTTACATAGGTGGTAATTTAACTACTTTCATTTTTTCAGGTATTTTAAAATTACTTAATTTTGTTACAATTTCATCCTTAACTATTAAAATTTTTGAACAATAATGCTCTTATTCCAAAATTAATTTACATGAACTTGTCATTACAATTTTACCCCTAAGGGGGCGTTTAGACCATATAATATTTTATTATAGAAGTATATTATATTAACGAAAAAAAAGATCACCTTGAAGATTATTATGAATGTTTAAAAAATTTGTTTGGTTAGTTCGAATAAATTAGTGAATAATATATTTGGTTAGGAGAATAAATAGGTGGATATATTATATAAATTACTAAATTGCCCTCCTTTTTTAATATTAATATAATAGTATTATTATTATTATTTTTTGAATCGTTTTTTAACCCCTTATATTTGAAATTTTGCTAAAATACCTCAACCATATAAAACTTTAATTTATAGCAAAATCACCCCCACCCACCCCATTCCATTGCCGACAGCCAACCACCACTGTCGGTTGCCGTTGGCAGTCGACGTAATGGTGCACGATTGGTTGTATGTGGCCGATTATGCGCCAGCAAAGTAAAAAATGGCCATATCTATGACATTTTTTATGGTTAGATCAACGGCCACATCTTTGGCCATGAAACAACCATAAAAACGCCAGATCTGACTGTTTCCGATCCATGGCCAGAAAAAGCCTTATCGGTGCACGACAGACCAGATCTCTCTGGTCGTAAACTATTACAACGATTGACGCTTGTGGTCGGCGGTGGTGAGTCACGGCCGGCGATGGTCTTGGGTAGTTGGGGGTATTTTGTTAACTTTTAAATTTTTAAGTGGCTGGGGTGTTTTAGCTAATTTCTCAAATTTAGGGGGGCTGCGAATTATTTTTTGGTAGACATTTGAGGGCAATTGTGTCTGAAATGGTTTTTAATTAAGGGCAAAATGGGTAGAAAATTCAAATTACCTCGATAATATTTTAATAACATCCCCTAGTAAGGTAATAAGATTACCCCCCACATTATCAACAGTAACCACTATTTGCAATAAAAGATTATCGTAATTTATTACTTGCAAACCAAACACAGTAATCTTGCAAAATGAACGAAGATTACCCCCGTTATCTTATTTACCCCCGAATCAAACAGCTCTTAATTAATTAAGTTTTTTTAACAATAATGCATTTATATTTAAAACAAATTGCAGGCCACCTAAGATTGTCGTTGCTCGCTGGCCAACCACCATCGACGACCACTAGCAGAGGTCATCGGAATGGCGCACGACCTATCGAATCTTGTCAAATGTGCATGTAGATCTAGTAGAAACAGTCAGATCCATGGCCATTAACGGCCAGATCCATGGCGCACAACAACCACGGATCTGGCCGTTTCTGGCCAGAGCCGGTAATGGCCATTAATCTAGATGGCCATTAATCTAGCCAGATCCAAAGCCAACTAGCTGTTTCTGGCCATTGATTTGGCTGGAAACGGCCATATCGGCGCACAGTCTGCTAGATCTGACCGTTCGTGCACCGTTATAGCGACTGCCGACAATCGGTAGTGGCTTGGGGTGAGTGAGGGTGATTTTGTTAGAAATTAAACTTTTATATAGCTGGAGTGTTTTAGCAAAATCTCAAATGTGGAGGGTTAAAAAAATTGATTCAAAAAATAATAATAAAAATAATATTATAATAATATTTAAAATGAGGGCAATTTAGTAATTTATATAACATACCCACCAATTTATTCTTCCAAACCAAATATATCAATACAACATATCCACCAATTTATTCAAACCTAACTAAACACATTTCTCTAAATATTCCTAGTAATCTGCAAAGTAATCTATCTTTCTAATAATAAACATTCTTAATCAATATTTTAAAAACCAACCAGGGTTAAACCCGGCAAAGAAGCTGGGTCTTGGGTTGATCAGTTTAACCAGTTGGACGGGTGGTCAAACCGGTGATGTGTCACAAAAAAAAATTCCAAATTTTTTGAATCGGCTCACATTAGCATGTGTCGACACTGACCTTCTTTCCTCTTTTTCGGCTATTTTCTCACCCAAAATCACCACCGTCACCACCACTGGAACCCCTAGCCTCTTCTCTTCAAAACCATACCCTTTATACCCTCTCATCACTCGCCGATTGCTGACGACGAAAAACATGTTTTTCAGCTGTCCTTTGCCAGATTCCAATCGTTTTGAGCGACGAAAACTCCAACCACCACCACCATTAGACTCATTGACTACTCCCTTAAAAAACCCCGAAAGCTCCCAAACCATTCAACCAACTAATCATCGGCGACAAAAAACACATTTTTCCGGTTGCTCTTTGCCATATTCTGTCCATTTTGAGTGACAAAAACTCCAACCAACACCACCATTAGACTCACCGGCTACTCCCTACAAAACCCCCAAAGTTCCCAAGTCATTCCACCCACCAATCGTTGGTAATCAAAAGCTAGGGTTTTGTCGTTTCTTGGCCAAATTCTGTCAATTCTGGTGACTAAAACTTAATCAAACACCACCTCCCGACTCACCGTGATCCTCCCTTCAAAACCCCCTAAGCCCGATTCATGTTTGCTAGTCAAAAGTCGCCGTTTTCACCAGCTGAAAGTCGTCGTTATAGCCAACTTCATTCACTCGGTTTTTTCCAAAAATAGTTGGACTAGCGAGTTGCTACAATAACACCGGTCCAACTTCAGTCAAATAGGCACTTCGATTTTTAGACTCTCCCGACTCGAATCACAGGCTCTGTTTTAAAAACCGGACCGGACCGGCCGGTTGGACCGGGAACCGGTAGCTTCTCCGGTCCGGTTTAGGTCTTAGGGGGGTTTTTGAAATATTTTAAAATTATGAGGGTTATTGTGTAATTTTATAGGGGTATTTTGGAGATATATCAAAAGTTTAGGGATTAATTGGTAATTTTACTAGGCCATTTTTGGAATAAATAAAAATTTTAGGCACTAATTTGAACTTTTTTAGGGGAATTTTTGTAATATATTGAAATTTAAGGGGTTAATATGTAATTTTTTAAAAATAAAATATTGCTGACATCATCGGTCCAACCGACCGGTCCAACCGGTTGGACCGATTGACCCGTGACCCGGACAGCAAAACGGTTTGCCCTCCGATTCGGGTTTTAAAATAATGATCACAGGTAGGGTCCTGATCCAACCGACCGGGCCAAACCGAGTTTTAAAACAATATTCCTAATAATACAACATTCTCTTAACCAAACACACCTTTAAAAGCTTTTCATTATAAGCTATTGAGTTAATCAAAGTTTTTCCCCTCAGACAAAATTCTTTCCACCATTAAATTTTTAAATGATGAAACAAATAGTAAAAAAATATTTTAAATGATAAAATAAACAGTAAAAAGACAATTAAATAAATATTCATAAATGTTCATTAATTTCTAATAATATAAATTCTAACGATTTGCTAATTAATTACAAAAAATTGAAGGGTTTACATTATCTCAAAAATCACAAAAATATTTTTGTTATTACATCAAACCACAAGGGTCAATGTTTTTAACTATAAACTATTTTAAATTTTAAGTACGTGTAATAAAGGCGCACATGAAGCATACAAATAAACAATTTAATGATATCAATATACTTTAGCAGTTTATGTACAACCCAAATAAAAAAAAAAAGACGTTTTTCAATGTAATAAAGTAATCAAAATCTTATACTTCATAACTTTGACATGTGCCCTTAAAAGCTTCCTTATCTTTTATCATACTGCCTAAAAATTGCGAAGGCCACTGGACGCAAAAGCTTTTGATTCACTCAAATGTATGTTACAAATATTCACATAAGATTCAATAATTTGACCAACATTTTCTGTACCTCTAATTATGACCTCTTTCATGAATAACATATATAAGCAGTGGTAAATATGGTCGCTGTTACTGGACAGTAATGTAGAGGCTAGAATTGTAAGCTTCACGTGTATTGCGAGTCAAAAATGCTAAAATGACATATTTCTGCTCCATATATCACTCGGCAAGCCCAACTCCTAATAGATTTACAGTGGCTGGAGCTCTTGCTCAGGCCCAGCAGTATCGACTGGTTTGTAGGAATTTACTGTTTGTTGTCTCTGCCTCCATAGAAACCACCAAATTCCATAAGCTGACAGTCCAACAATCATCGTAATGGTAATGGCTAATACCGCAACCAAATATTGTTGTTGCCACCATCTCCTACATCATTTCATAAGATAAAAATTGAAAAAGGAATAACATGTAAGTTTTTCAAAGCACTGGATATCAGGTCAAAGCTTAATGCCATGAAAGCACTTGTGAAGCATTCATGAAATATAAGCCACAACCACAATTCAATATAACTTTTTGATTATAAATATTGTGTGCATGTGTTACACGCAGAGAGATGCCTAGGCAGGGATACTTGGTTTTTCCTTTCACAGATTTTTGTGAAAAGATACATTATTGAACTCAAGAAGTATTTTCAGCAATTGCTGTATTAAAAGTGATCACCTGACACCTCTTAGTATAATGACAAAATATAATTCATAGGAAGCCAATATATTAATTAAAAATCAACAAACCACCTCCCTCCACTCTTTAAAAAAAAAAAAAAAAAAAAGTGCAGAAGAAAGTGAAATAATAACCTACCTCTTTGCTGGAGGCTTGATTTTCCATTGAAGCAACTTATAATTTCCAAAGGTGTCAGGAAGGTGCACACGATGTTCAGCAAGCTGGGAAATTATACTCTGCAGGTGTAACAAAAGATCAAGCAAACAGCTCTAATCTGATTTACATACACTTTCCAACATTTAAAGAAAAAAAAGGCATACTTACAATTGCAGTGTCATTAGAAATGTAGCTAGCAGATCCTAAAGGGAATATGGCCCATGTAATAAGCGAGCTATCTCCTTTGGATGTAACATTTAAAAGATGAACCTGAAACAATTTACCAACAATCATTGGCCTCCAAAAGTAAGATAAGCATCCACTTGAAGAAACTTCATCAAACAGTAGTTTAAAGCATCAATCTTATGCACTTTGCAGAATATATATCCAGCACCACCAAAACTTTCTAGATAGAAATACAGTATTTGTCTAACCTGAGAAGTATTAACATCTAACTCGTGAGCAATGAACTCAGTAAGTTCTGGGATATGGGGTTCCAAATTCGAGTAGTTGATGCTCAAAGACATATCAAATGTTATTTGACCAATTCGGAGTACCCCTGCATAATAAAGTAATGAGAAAAAATTATCAGAGCACAAATCAGAAGACAAGATATACATGGTTGAAGATGCAGTGCATAGGAGTGAATAAATATTTAGATAAGGAGCAAAATTTTGTCTTGCCACACGAATTGACAATAATAAACATGAAAAGACAATGACATGCTTTCAAACTATAGGACAGAATATGTCCCTTTCTTCTAACTTTGTATTTCCCAATTCACCAAACCTTATTGCATAGTGTCTTTTCTTCATTTTTAAATCTCTAAACAACATTTATTTGTATGCACATACACGTCTATGCAAAAATCCAACAAACCTAGTGCAATCTACCCAACCTCATGCACATGCCAGTATTTAATTTCAAGATGTTCTCCAAAAACTGACGTTACTTGCCCACTAGAATAAGGGGCCTTTCACCACCCACATGGAAAAAGAAAATTGTTTATTTATGCAAAGGATAAATAAAAAGGGCAAAGAGTTTACTCACTGCAGCTGACTGTACCTGGAAGAGCATAATTTGAAGGTTCATTAGGAGGTAATTTTGCACTTGGGTTCTTTCCACTTGAAGGAACTTGTGGCGGAGTACCAGTTTCCTGCAGTCGTTCCCATAACTCAGAACAATTGGTCTTCCAAAAACCAATCTTTGAATGTTCACGATCATACATCACAAGAGTATTGCGAACAACAATCCCTGATACAAAATCATATATTTACAATTCATAACAAATTACTAAATATAACTGGTAAAATAACAAAAAAGTAGCTAGACTATCCAACAAGAGTAACTGGCATAGCATGGTGAAAAAAGTTAAGAAACAAGTTCAGTAAAGATTAATACCTCCAAGGAGCGTAGTTGGATCCTTTCCATTTTGGAAAATCCCCAGACAATATGCACCACGAACCTTTGAATGCTTTAAAAACAAATCATTTAAAAGATAAAGCAGAAAACCCTTTATCAGTCATCATGTATCAAATGCCATCATCTCAACAAAGAACCCCTAAATCCCATCACACAGACTCCCTTTTGGAAAAGCATATATAAAAAATTATATTGATCAAGTTCAGCCCAGTTAAGATTTCTTTTCCTTCAAGAATAAGAATTACAAAGTTGACTGCTTACCCGGAACAAGTAATTTTCTGGTGATAGCAACAGCTTTTGCCCATTGCCAAAAACCATCTCAACTGCTGGAAAGGTATTTGAGAGTTGAGAGGCATCACTGAATCAAAAATCAATTAACCATTAATCACACCATGGATAAGAATTCAATCTATATTATAAATTACTTTTGTAGTCTTTTATGCTACAAATAATACCTTGAAGCACCAGAAAAACAAATATCATGGTAATTAGGATCAGGACCATGGATTTGCTTTAAGGACTGAAGTTCAATCATAATCTGCACAAGAAAGGTACTCTGTCATAATAGTAAAGGAAAAATCAAAGTAAACAATAATAGCAAGAGTCTGCAAATTTAGTTTGGAAGAGAATATCTATAGAAACAAGGAACAGTGACACAAAGCATTGATAAGATCTACCACCACTGATCTCAATTTTTAAGCACCAAAACAAAATTCTTCTGTGGAAAAAGTAATATGAAAAAGCAAAAGTTTTTCAGTTCACGAAAAAGGAAAATTAATAACTAAATATGTAGAAGGCATTGGAATTCAACATTAAACGGTATCAACATCAGATCTCCCTATTTTTAACAGCACAGGTAGTTGCCAATAAGAAAAGCTTTTGAAACAACAACAAATAAATCATAGGCAATAGGGGGACATGAAGCAACAGCCAGAATGCATACAATGTGCTCACATTATTTCCTACTTCTCAAGGATTATACCATTAAGCATAAGAACAAACCCAAAACTTGATCAGTAAAATAACAAACAAAATTTGGTCAGTGCATCTACCACTATTGTATAATGTTCTTGGAAGTCAAAGAAACAGTTTTTTACCGCATCCTTAAAAGCCACAAATGCTGCTTCTGGCAGGTAAGCATATGTTGTGCCACTATCAAGAACAGTTCCATGCTTTCCATCAAAGACCCTTGGATTTAAAGGTAATGGCTTCCCAGCAACACGTATCGCCTTCAAATTAATATTGTAGTATGGACTGTTGCCATCCCGAAACTAAAGTAAATGTGTGAGATGTATCAAATGTATTTGTCAGGCAAGTGCATGATGGATTTTATCTATGAGATAAAACCTTTTTTAAGACATACCTGCGTACAGGGTCTGAATGAGCAAAGACCATGTTTGCTGGAGGAGATATATCACCAAGAACCATAGCACCCCCACCAATATCCATCCCACCATAACATAACGAGAATGAATCACTAATCACACCTTTCTCAACAAGTTGGTCAACAACACTGAGATCACCACGGCCCAATCCCATTATGCCATCAGCATGCTGAGTATAAAGGTCACCAGTTTCAACATTCTCACAGCCAAAAACAGCACGCTGAGGCACAAGTTCACTTTGATTGCCAAAGGATAAAATATCCTCACCAAGAACACCACTGCTTGAACTCATCTCAGCATACTGTCTCTCGTAAACACATTGTACCCTGTCATGGTCACAATTGCAGTCCAGATTGCATTTTACAGGTTGATACGTGCTTGATAAGTCAGGCTCGAATTTAGGATCCTAGGGAAAACAAACATCAACCCCCAGTTCAGTCAATTACATGACCAAAAGTTTCTAGCAAATTTGAACTCAATTACCTAGAAAACTACACATTAGGTATTCAGTATATAGCATAAACTATAACCAAAAAAAAAAAAAAATTGCACCATATACATTTCAACTCCTCTTAATAGAGCTACTATAGAGTAAACATAGCCGTTTACACGCCTAATTATATCAATAAACACCAAAGATTTGTTTCACATAAAGATGAAATTAAAAAATAACCTGATGCCTGCCGCACTGCTCGCAAGTAGCACAGGGGACATAGGTAACAGTACTTCCCGTATCAACAATAAGAGCGAACTGTTGAGGTGGCGTACCGATCCAGAGACGCGTAGTATAATACCTTCAACACCAAATCAAACCAAACTCAAACAAAAATTTACTTTGAAACAAGAGATCAAAGAAAAATATACATAAGTTAACATAAAATTCAAACCCGTTGAGAAGTAGATCGTCGTGGAGTCGCATGCGAGCGCTAGGGTGGGAATTGGAAGTGGATCTCTGAAGGTGACGACGAGAATTCGAGAAACTGCTTGTGAAGATATTAGGAGGGGAATGGTAGAGTGGCAATACCATGGCGGGATGGCTGCCACCGTGGAGGAGAGTGGCGGTTGAGGCAGCAGGATGTGATTGGAGGAGATACAAGAAGAGGAACATAGGGGTGAGAATAAGAGTAGGTGCCCAAGCCATTTGTGAGAACGGCCAGGGCGATTTGGAGATGAGAGAAAAGGATAGGGAGAGTGAGTGAGAATATGAAGATAGCTCTCAGACTCTGAGAATGATTCTCTCTTTCCTTCAAGAGAGTGAGAGAGGGAGGGAACTCGAGGGTTCAGAATGAATGAACATAAGTTTTTGTCACCTTCTTTCTAAAATAGCTCAATTTGCGCCTTTAAGGATATCTTTCTTAAAACGGAGACGTTTAAATTTTAAAGCGATTTACTTTTTCCTTTAAAATTTCTTTAATAGCCAAACGCATAATAATGAGGGCATTTTTCTAATTTTCTTGAAGAGAACGTTATCCTTGGTACCAATTATTTATTTAATTAAATCCTGATACGACCCTTCAACCCAAACGACAAAGACTCTCTAACTGACAGCTAATTCTATGAATAACATTTAGAATAATTTTGAATTTATTCTAGGATAATTTAAGATAACCTTTCTTGAAAATGAAAGGAAAAATATTTTGAGCTATTTTTTAAGTAATTGAATAATTTATTAATCGAAAAGTGGGGGACATATCAAAGAAACAAATTTGTTCTTTCCTAAAACAGCATTGTTGGCAATATAGCATGGCAACATTAGCCTTCTCAGCTTCCCATTATACTGTAAATGCACTACCAATACAATGGATCATCTGAATTTCTTACATGTTTAACAGAAGCTCCCATCAGTAATTTCAAGGCATTGGATAATATAAGCCTGAAAGTGAAAAGATAGAATGGGTATCATAGCACTAGGTGAACAAGTAAATTCTCTGCACATCCACTAAACTTTCCTACAAATCTTGCATTTGATTACTACATATATGGCTGGTGTGAAGACTGCAATCCACTACCCATATATCCTGCATAATTAGCTGGAGCTGCAGTGTATGAAGTTACATTAACCCTATCATCTTGGGGATAAAAATATAGTCTTTGATCAGTTGGTTGCTGAGCAAATGCAGGCTGGCCAGGAACTTGGTAATCATAAGGGTTTGGACCAGCCTGAGGATATCTCTCAGGCATTCCTCCATATGCTGCCCTGTCAGAGAAAACAGGTGGAACATGCCTACCAGGAGCTGCCTTGCCACCATGAGAACGATGTCCACGGTATCCTCCATTTGCTCTTTGTTTCTTGGAGTGTTGATGTTTACCAAAATCTCCACCCCTCTTCTTATCAGATTTCGACCTCTCCAGTTGAGCAACCCTTTTCTGAAGTGGATCAAGAGGATAGTCAGCTTCAAGTTTGTACTCTTTGACGCAATTAACTACAGCTTTCAAAGCAGCAAGTNTGGTGGTTAACGATGAAAGCTCTTCGATCACTATATTACCTTGTGTTATGTGAGGTGGAGGACATATCAAGCATGAAATGCAGAGTAAGCTAATTCTTCATTATACCCAACTCCTTATAAAGTTATAATGCCCTTTCCAGGAAAGAGCTCATGATTTCTTATTATGCAGAGGCCATGAAAAATCGAGAAAGTAAATTTCCAGGAATCAGTATAACAAACTACTTAAAAGAAGAGCAAATAAAAACCTCAAAGTAATCAACACCTTGTATTCTCAACTACACGATAAGTATAACCGGAAAGAAAAAAACAGTTGTAAAACCTCGATATGTAAACATTACTGTGACATTCCTTTCAAGTAGATTGTACAAAAATTACAGTTGGTTCCCGCATCCAATTGGCAGATTATTCCCCTGCTTTCCTAGTTTCCTTGTGCCAGAGCAACGTTCCTCTGAATATCAACTTACAACCAAAAGGACTACAACTACAAACACTGACAACAATTCTACACACTCACAAACAAAAGGGAGTTTGTAACAATAACAATCCTACACATAAAGACAGTTTTTACTCAAAAGACAGACACCTGATTCTTCAATATGATGGAGCTAAAAATTGGAAAGACAGTGCATGTGACCTAAAATTCATTTGTATGTCTAGACATTTGACTTCTTCCCGTCGAACCAAGCAAGTATCTTTTTGCCATACATATTGTTGCGCATCACTAGAAAATTTGACATAACCAGATTCCGCAAAGCATCATGGAGAAAACCCTGCCGTTGCCACAAAGGATAAACACAATAGAACCGAATATATCATAATTTTAATCAGAATAAAAAATATTATCTATATAAATTACGAAATGAAAAAAATTAAATAAGAAAAATGTGCAAGCAAGCAAAGCCATTAGTTTATATCTTGGGAGACTAGACAAAGGCATTTTACTTATTTAAACTTAGACGTGAGTAAGATTCAAGCAGTTTCAATATGCACAAGTCCAAATTGCATAGCCAAAAATTAACCATCTTAAGCTGAATTCAACAGATTTGTCAGGTCTCTGAGCCAAACCAAACCATTTATCCTGGATGGCATATTGAAGTAAGGCCACATTTATTAGCTAACACTAGTTTGCAGAATGAATACAACTTAATAAAGTGAATGATCTAACCTTAGACACCAACAAAGCTGATTGCATAACAAAGTTTCCAAAAGGATCAGTAAGCAGCATAGAAACATTTGGACTTTTAAGCAACTCCCTAACAATTCTCATGGACTGCTGTTCGGCTGATTCTATCAAGCACCTCTCTACAACATTACTGCCATACTTATTACAGGAGAGATCCATGTAATGCCCTTCAAATTGTCTCAGAAGATCTGCAGTTATTTGTGGTATCCTCAATCCCAGTAAATGTTGCACCACATAGTTACTAGAGAAAATAAAAATTGTAGAATCATGTTACTTTCTGATCACAGCCAAGCAAAAGTAAACCAAAAATAAGATTTAAAAAGCTATAAGAATATGAAATTAGAACATGATAAAGGTCTAGCAAACAAACCCAAAACGATCTTCTGCTAGGTGTTGTGCATTTGCAATGATCTCAGCAATTAGACGCTCTCTTTGCAGCCCCTTAGATTTTTCAACACATTGCTGCAGCACACAACAACCACTTTTGTCTGTTGCAATTCCCAAACAATTATCGACCACCTCATTCAGAAGATACTGCCAAAAATAATCTGTCAGAAATTTCAAAAGCCAGAACAATGCTTCCTGGTGGATCTTAGCATTGTTTTAGAAAAGCACATGCACAATAATTAATAAGCAGTAGGGAAGACCAAAGCTTAATGTCTACTACCTCCACCACTCAAAATACACTTCAATTCTTTCTGTCCAAATTTCTTGAAGACATTGTGATGACATAGAAAACACACTTTGATTTTTAAAATTTCAAACCATGATATATGTTCTATTAAATATGCTAAGTTACATATAAAAGCTTAGGAGCAAATAAGAGCAACTGCAAGAACTGTTAAGAACACACGCATAAATTATTGACATACTAGCAAAAAGAGTTTCTATCGTTCATACATGTTTGATTGTCAAGCATTTTCCAACACAAAAGTAATACCATGTATTGTTGTCCAAAATTCCATCAATAGGAAGAAAACCATATTTTATGACACGGGAAAATCAAACCACGGCAACTCTTAGATATATAATGCCACACTGTTTCCGAAGCCACCACAGTTAAAGCCCCAAATTAAAATCAACTCTGCAGAGATCAATAAGATCCAGTGTCTCTACCTCCATTACTAGAACTAATAATTTTAGTTTTGAGCTGTACATACAATCAAATGCTGAAACCTGCAAGATTCTAGTGCACTAATAAAGACAAATTTTAGTGTTTTTGTTGGAATAAATTCTCTAGCATAGATTCGATTAACAAATTAGTAACCATAAGAAATTATTGTTTCAACAACCAAACCCACATCATTTAACTTTCAATGGGGAACCATTCCTGGAAATGTATAATCAAAGAGAAAAATGAAAACTTCCATGATGAATGCTGGTCATCCACCTATACTAATTGAACATTACCTTGTTGTATCGATCAGGGAAGTATTTCAAGCAATGTTGGATTACATGATGACCATTCGTGTCCTTAATTAATGTGACACTACCAGGCATCAGAGCAGCTGTGACCAAAGAGACTTGCTGTGGGGTGGTAAGATGTTCCAATAATTTCTGTACAGCACGAGTCCTGAAAAACAAAGATAACCACTTCACATAAATCTTTTTCATTGAACCGTTCAAATGAAATAAAAATAAATAAATAAATAACCCAAACGAAAGAAAAACATACCCATGCATGCTTAGACATATCCTAACAAGTTGAAAATCAATCTTGGTCAGCATTTGAAGGATCTGAGTCCTCTGTTCGTCACTACATGTCTCCACAAGCTTTTGCACAACATAATTACCAAAAGGGTCAATAATCAAGTCACATACATGGTCTATCATCTCCGAGAAAATCATATCAATTCCTTCTTTTGACATATGAAGAATAGTGTTTTGCAAGAGACGACATCCGTATTGATCCTTGGCCAAAGCCACGATATTACCCTTCAAATCTCCCAAAGATAGGCAATGAAATGGTTTCTGCAACCATTGACCCCTCTTAAAATTCAAATTAAAACTCGAAACATTCCGGTTTCTCGGCACCATGCCATTCAACAAGAAGTTTCGCTTTGAAGATGATATGGCAGATAAATCATTGTGAAATGCTCCATTTCCAAAATCATGCAAAAACCCATTTTGGTTTGTACTTTGCGGGCTAAAATTATTGGATGTTGAATGAAAACCAGACATAGAACCATCCCAGTTATAACCTTGCAAACCCATAATCCCAGAAGAACTTATACACCCAACAAGTTTACCGAGTTCCATATCTTGGCGAACAAGTGATGGAAAGCCATCCCTATTTAACACAGAACTATTTGTGACGTTATCAAAGGCAGAGGACCTATAAAAAAACTCATCATTAGAGCCTGGATTTACAGTGAGATTAGAGAAGGAAGATTCAAGGGTTTCCTGTGAAGGGTTTAGTAGGTAAGTTAGAGGGTTTTGTTGATGGTGATTTTGGCGACGGAGATGGGAATCCGGTGAACCGTAAACCGGAGCGTGAGAAGGCGTTGCCGTGGCCATAAAATAACGGTTACTGCGGGTGTTAGCCATCAATGAATGAGAGAGAGTTGAAGTGGCGAAAGGTTTTTGGTCTTAGAAAAGGGTTTATATGGTATTTGGATGTGTGGAGTGGAGATATAATTTTGATTTTAAATGAGAAAGAGGATATTAATGAAAAGATTTGGTTAACATAGTATTTGGGAAGATTTTTGAATAAAAATGGAAAAGCCTTAACTGAGAGTTATAGGCGGAGAGTCTGGACAGTGAGAGTAGTCTGTAGAGAGATATGCTATGTAGTATGTAATATGTATGACTAGTTGAAGTTTTGCATGCAGTTTGTGGAAACTATTGACATGGAATGGAATAGAGAGAACAAGTGAGAAAAGACTTTATGTGTTTACGTGGCGTACGTCTGTCACCTAGAATCCTGTTTCTTCTGAACAACCAATAGTTTTTTAGATGGAATGTGTTTTAGTTTTACCTTATTTTGTCTAATATTTTATCATCTCTTTCTCTCAACTCTTTAATATTTTTATATTTCATCCTACATCTCATTAGATTTAAGTTCAAATAAATCAGTTTAATCTTTAATGTAGAAGATGAGGATAATTTCAGAAAATAAAATTAATAATCCAATTGAAACTCATCCGGTAGATGAGATTAACATATATCCTATACTTAAGGGATTTAGGAATTTAAATTCTTAGGGATTTAAGTGGGGAGGGTTTAGAAAAATGAAATGTAACTGCATCCATCATATCATAAACTGTTCAAGGTTTAGTTTTGATGGAATTCATTTTTGTAGATGAAGATTAGTTATTTAATTTTAGCCAATTATACAAGTACGTGTAGATGAAGACTAGTGCCTCTCAAAACTTTCAACCTACTAAGCTTAAAGGTTTACAGGTCAATGTCTTTCCAGTAAAACAAAAACACGGCCAGTCGTATTTTGAATGATCCAAAATATGTTAAAAGCCTGTAACGACTGGGTTGATTTCTTTTTCAACCTAAATGGATTGACGAAATCAAAAGGAAGGAGAATGCGCATTTGTATTGTCAACAGTCAACTACGGCTTTAATAAAAAAGGGGATATCATTGATTCTTCGACGAAGTTTCCACTAATGTATAATCAAAAGAAAATATTCTGTTTCCACGAATGTATAGTCAAAAGAAAATATCTTTTAGAGTAAAATTACATGTATAAACTAATTATATAAACTATTTCCTTACAATTAGAATGTGATAATCTTATTGTAGAAAATCTAGGGTTTAATTGAATCTGACTTCAATTGGGATAATGGATGAGCAAATGAATTAACAACTTATACAGATTATTAAGCAAACAATCAATTGCAGAAATCAATAAAGAATGAACAAAGTGAAAGATTAACACACAAAGATTTATAGTGATTCAGCTTATACAGCCTAACTAAAATGGGAGCTAAAAACTAGAAAGAACACACCCGAGATTTGAAATCCCCCAAATCTCTTCTATGAAATCCCACACTATGCTCTTTGCCACTCTTGCATCCATCAAGCTGGATTTATACATAATTAACCTTCTCTGATCGAATACTATCTGTACAACAAAGCATGACAACCGTTTGATGAATGATAGCCTAGAATCTTCTTCCATGGTCATGTTCTCGAGTCGAAGTGAGAAAAAGCCGAAGAGAGTAAAGTTGTTACAGTGAAACCAAGATCAAGTGCCACGATAAGGCACTTGATCTCTAACCCAAAACAGCGTCGCACAAACTAGTCTTGACTTCCATTTAAAAACTTTGACTCTAGTGTGGCAATTTACAAGCCACATCATCACAATTCTCCACTTTGACTTTTGAATTGATACCCTAAGTGGCCTTGGCTCCATCTTGCTTACTTTTGAACTTGAAGTAGGCTCATACAGAGCCTATGCTTGTCAACAACCACTGGTTTAGTGAGCATGTCTACTGAATTGTGTGTGCCTTTTACCTTTTCAATTCCGACTTCTCCTTTTTCAATCATTTCCCTGATGAAGTGAAGTCTGACATCGATATGCTTGGTTCTCTCGTGGAAGACTTGGTTTTTAGACAAGTGGATTGCACTCTGACTGTCACTGTTGATCACCACTACCTTCTGTTCCATCTCCAGTTCATTTATGAACCCCTTAAGCCATATTGCCTCTTTTGCTGCTTCTATCAGGGCTACATACTCAGATTCTGTTGAGGAGAGTGTGACCATATGCTGAAGCTTTGATTTCCAACTAAGCATATTCCCCTATAGTGTAAACACAAAGCCTGAAGTAGACTTTCTTTTATCAATGTCCCTTGCATAGTTTGCATCTACAAACCCTTTAATGTAGCAGTCTTCTTCTTTGGTTTTTATGAACACAATGCCTACTGACTTGGTTCCCTTTAAGTACCTTAGGATCCACCCGAGTGCGGACCAGTGTATCTTACCCTGATTGTTCATGAATCTGCTTACCGGACTTATAGAATATGTTAGGTCTGGCCCAGAGCAAACCATCAGGTACATCAAGCCGCCTAGGGCATTTGCATAAGGTATAGTAGACATTTCTTGTTTCTCTTCTTCAGTTTGGGGGCACTGGTCATGAGATAATTTGATGTGCTGCCCCAGAGGAGTTTGGATAACCTTTGCATTCTACATGTTAAATTTTTGCAGAATCTTCTCTACATAATCCTCTTGGACCAATTTTAAGCTTTTCTGCACTCTATCTCTTACAATGGTGATACCAAGAATTTTCTAAGCCTAACCCAACTCCTTCATTTCAAACTTGGTATTGAGAGTCTTCTTCAGTCGAGAGAGCTTAGTTTTGTCATGGCAGGCCACCAGCATGTCATCCATATAAAGCAACAAAAAAATGTAAGTCAAATCAAGGGTTTTTTTAAAGTAAAAACAACTATCAAAGTTACATCTATTGAAGCCTATTTCAATCATAAAGGAATAAAATTTCTTGCACCACTGTTGTGGTGATTGTTTTAGGTCATATAGTGATTTTCTTCAGAGACACACTTTAGCTACTGGTCCAGAGTATCCTTCTGGCTACTCCATCAAAATGTTCTCCTCAAAATCACCATATAAGAATGTTGTTTTTACATCCAACTGCTTAAGTTCTAGGTTGAATTGCACAACAAGAGAGATCAAAATCTTAATTGATGCATGTTTGACCACTGGAGAGAATATTCATTATAATCTATGCCCTTCACTTGTGTGAATCCTTTTACAACCAACCTAGCCTTGTATCTAGGTGGTTCTTTGGAAGTTAGGCCTGGTTTTCTTTTGAATTTGCATTTGACCACCCTACAATTTTCTGGTTTGTCAACTAGGATCTAGGTATTGTTCTTCATCAAGGAATTGAATTCTTCTTTGATTGCCTTCTTCCATTCTGATTCTTCAGGTCCTAAGACCGCTTCTTGAAAGGTTTTAGGCTCGTCATTCAGTTCTTCTTCGACATGAAGAGCATAAGCTACCAGGTCTAGGGCTGCAAACGAACCGAATAGTTCACGAACAACTCGATGTTCGTTTGATAATATGTTCGATCGAGTTCGAACATGGGTTGTTCGTTCGATTATGTTCGCGAACATTATACGTTCGGCTGATCCATCCGTTCGCAAATAATTTGTTCGATTATTCATTCGTTTATGTTCGAAAAAAAAATGGTATGCATTATTATATATATATATTCATTTTTTTTCTTTTTTATATTATGTTTGGTTTAGTTTGGATGAATTTTTTTTAATGGTAATCAATAATAAAATATTATGATGCTTTTGTTTTTCTTATATAATCTAATATGTTTGGATTTTTTTTTTTCTCCAATCTCATCAACAATTAAATATTAGTATATAGCATTTTAATTAAAAAGTAATAAATTTTATAATACATAGCATGACAAATTAATAACATAATAGATTGTATAATCAATGATATATAATAAAATAAATCCATAACATATAGCTTCATATTTTTCCAAATGAAATCAATATTAAATATTATAAAATATATTTCAATTAATAAATATAAATATAGTATGGTAAATTGATTTATAACATTTGTATAATCAAGTGATGTATAACATAACAATTAAAAATATAATAGCTTAGTTAAATATAGTATGGTAAATTGATGAACATAACATATTGTATTAAGTTATATATAACATGACAAATTTAATAATATAAAGCTAATTAAATAATTGACAAATTATTAATAAATATATTATATAATCAAGTGATATATGCATTACAATTTAATAACATAATAACTTAATTAAACTTAAATTAATTACACTTTATAATGATCATATATTAAAATAACCCTCATACCACTATGAATTTATAGGTATTTATACAAAATATATATGTAGACAGCAATGATAATATATATAATATGTGTATGTGTATATTCAAAATTATCACATACATTATTAATCATAGGTTTAATATTTATTAAATTATCAAATTATAGTTAATATTATTAACAAATTAATCACACATATGTATGATCATTTATTATAATAACCATAATTCCACTTGATTTATGGGTGTTGATACAAAATATATATGTAACATTTAAAATATTTATGATAATTATGTAAGATAATAAATATATGATAACCTATATTTTGTAATTTCATAACATTTTAACACTATTTAGCCTATGATTAATATAGTATGATATAATTTTGTATATACACATTACACATTATATATATAGCAAATTATCACACATATTTTGATCATCTATTACATAGACCCTATTCTATATGAATTTATGGGTGTTGATACAAAATATATATATAAACATTAAATATTTATGATATTTTATTTTGATAAAAATATATGATAACCTATAATTTTGGTAATTTCATACCATATTAAACATATTTAATCTATGATTAATTATGTATGATAATTTTTTACATACACAATTACACGCGCGTGCACACACTTACACACTATATATATTAAACCCATTTCACATTTTCCCTTACCAGGCCAACCCAAATTTTAAAACAAAAATCAAATCCAAACCCCAATTCCACATTTTC